GGCATTTTAGCGGAAAATTACTGTTCCACAGCCCTTGAAGCTCAAGCTGTATAAAAACAAATGTTGCCCACAATGCCAGGGTAGAATCCAGGTAAAAAAGTCACAGGAAAAGTCACAGAAAAGTCACCCAACCCAACCTAACTTAACCTACGTGCAACATATATAAATCGTGTTGTCAATATGTAAAAGTCATGTATTGTCAGTTAATAACTGTTTTAAAATATTTTTAGTTTTATTACCTTAAATGTGACTTTTTTCCTGTGACTTTATTACCGTTCACCGCCAGGGTAACAGGTTACCATGCGTTCGATTTTTCCGGAACATTATTAACCTAAACCTCTTTCCGACCGGAAATTTTATTAATATAAAAATATGTCCGGGATTTTGCTCAACTTAAAAAAAAAATACATGTTTATATAAAACCCAGTAGACTCGTCACTCACACCAGGGAGTGATGGAATGTGTACCAGACGAATAGTGGTGAGTTGTGTACTAGAGGAATAGTGGTGTGGGTTGTATACCAGGGGAATAGTGGTGTGGGTTGTGTACCAGAGGAATAGTGGTGTGGGTTGTGTACCAGAGGAATAGTGGTGTGGGTTGTGTACCAGAGGAATAGTGGTGTGGGTTGTGTACCAGAGGAATAGTGGTGTGGGTTGTGTACCAGACGAATAGTGGTGAGTTGTGTACTAGAGGAATAGTGGTGTGGGTTGTATACCAGGGGAATAGTGGTGTGGGTTGTGTACCAGAGGAATAGTGGTGGTGGTGAAGAATAGTGGTGGGTTGTGTGAACCTCAGGAGGAATAGTGGTGTGGGAGGAATAGTGGTGTGGGTTGTGAACCTGAACCTGAGGAATAGTGGTGTGGCAGAAGAATAGTGGTGTGCACTAGAGGAATAGAGGAATAGTACCAGAAGAATAGTGTGGGTTGTGAACCTGAGGAATAGTGGTGTGGGTTGTTGTGCACCAGAGGAATAGTGGTGTGGGTTGTGCAATTGTGGAGAATGTGGTGTGGGTTGTGTACCAGAGAGAATAGTGGTGTGTGGGTTGTGTACCAGAGAATAGTGGTGTGGGTTGTGTACCAGAGGAATAGTGGTGTGGGTTGTGTACCAGGGAATAGTGGTGGCTGTGTGAATAGTGGTTGTGTACCAGAGGAATAGTGGTGTGGGTTGTGTACTAGGAGTGAAGACTAGTGGTGTGTGGCTAGAACCTGAGGAACTGAGGAATAGTGGTGTGTGGGTTGTGTACCAGAATAGTGAGGTGGGTGTGGTTGTACCAGAAGAATAGTGGTGTGGTTGTGAACCTGAGGAATAGTGGTGGGTTGTGTACAGAGGAATAGTGGTGTGGGTTGTGTGAGGAATAGTGGTGTGGGTTGTGTACCAGAGGAATAGGGGTGGTGTGGGTTAAAATCAGAGGAATAGTGGGTTGTGTGGGTTGTGTGAACCTGAGGAATAGTGGTGTGGGTTGTGTAAACCTGAGGAATACCAGAGGAATAGTGGTGTGGGTTGTGTACCAGAGGAATAGTGGTGTGGGTTGTGTACCAGAGGAATAGTGGTGTGGGTTGTGTACCAGAGGAATAGTGGTGTGGGTTGTGTACCAGAGGAATAGTGGTGTGGGTTGTGTACCAGAGGAATAGTGGTGTGGGTTGTGTACCAGAGGAATAGTGGTGTGGGTTGTGTACCAGAGGAATAATGGTGTGGGTTGTGTACCAGAGGAATAGTGGTGTGAGTTGTGTACCAGAAGAATAGTGGTGTGGGTTGTATTTTAAGTGTTATCTGAGAACATTGTTGCCAAGATTAAGTGCAGAATAAATGGACACACACGTAGAGCAAAGACCAGATTAAGAAAAACCGGAAACTGCCAATTGCTCTCACTAACAACCCAACACAATACACTATGTTAGAGGCCCCCAGCAGGGTTCTTTTGGATTTACTATTCAGATGTAAGCATATACAATAATTGTGTGAAAGAGAATCTTATGTACTGTACAGGCCTAATCAACCCTGAGGTATGAATTACTGAGACTTTTTAAGCCTCATCATAAATGATGTATTGTGTGTCTGTTAAGACCAACATCACTGTAGGAATACTGTACACCCATTGGTACCCAGAACTTTTTTAATAAACTTCTTACAAACTTAAGGCTGGCCCCCCACTTCACTAGGGAACAATTGTTAAAAACAATGGACTGAACAAATCTGTGCATAATTGGTACCCACAACACTGGGTATGATTGCTCCCACAGGTTTTATGTATTCCCCCAAAAAAGTATCATTAGATTTTCCGTCGCTATAATTTGAAACACTCGACAAAATGCTTTGATACGATCCCCAGTGCCTACTGCCATTAACAACAGCTAGAGATGGGGGGTAGGATTGGAGGAGTCGTCTTTTAATGGCATACTGTACTAAATACTTCAATATAACATGAAATCCATTAAGCTATATTAATGTATGTATTGTGCTGAGTAGAAGCAAGGCATTTATAAACAAACTACAATAACATTGAAATATCCATTTTTTGTAACAACGTAACTGAGACCGAGATGTCAAAACAGACATTTCACTAGTCCCTTCTAGTACTAGCGGAGTTTCATTTACACCGAGTTTCACAATACGCCTATGCATGTTGTTCACAATATGTCTGATATAAGGAGAGAGACTAAGCAAGTTGTACAGTATTTGATATTTGAGTGAACAGCTTCAGTAATATACAATATATCGGTCTACATGGGATGTGCCATGTTACTGACATGTAAATTGCATTGGTTTAACACCGAAATAAGGTTAACGTTTCAAATCAAGAGACTTGCAGGAAATTAATCCCCTGTCCACCTATAGTAAGACATTTGTGGTTGTAAGTTTCAGTGTCAGCAGTAGTTTCATTGTGCCTAACCCATCATGAAGCTGTGAGTTCGTTCACCCCAGTTCACTGTGCTATCTCAGCATTTGTATACCCTCATTGTGAAGGGCAATAAATAACACCCTTCACATCTTGCGACATCTCCCCGATAATTCCTCACTCCATTGGATTAACATCCCATTGATGGCTGGCAGGGCATTAATGTCCATTTACAACATCCACTCTTATTCATGTAATTTATCTGAAGCCTAGGAGGATTAACATCATTCGAAAGGTTGCAGATGCTGAACTACCTACCGTTCAGAAACAGGTAGAGTATCACTGCTTGGAAAGCTTCGAATCACATCAACCCCATGGCTCACGATATATATATTTTTTTTGACTGTACATACATACTTTCAACACGATGTAAAAGAAGAAAAACATTCAACCTTACAGTGGCTGTAAACAATATCGGTCACTAACATTTTTACAAGACAAAAACCCTTGTAAACTATTAATATTATGTCATGGTGTCCCTTAATCTATACCCTTTCCATGCTAACCTGGCCCGTAAGCCACGCCCTTTTATAAAAATAGCTACCGTAATTGGTTCATAGAAAATGTTCGTGTAGCTGTCCATTTATTCAAACTAAATACTTTATGTTCTCATTTAGTAACCAGATCTGTTATTCTGTAAAGTAATGTTAAATAACTGGACTATCAAAATGCAAATGATTTCAAGGCATTACCACTTCAGAGAGGAAGTTAGAAATTTTTTAATATTTATCATAAAAAGGTCGAAGTCAAAAATGAAATTCGCTTTCAAATGAAGTCTTCATATTTCTTTTTGTACCAAACATAAAGCAAGCAGAAACAAAGGACACTGAACATATAGCACAATAGGTAATGAACTACAGTTTGTATAGCTGTATATATCCCAAATCATTTATGTAACTGATAAAACTTGATATAAATATGCACAGCTCTGCCTGTAGTGCGATGAATCATTTGTTCTGACTTCAGTCATATTCTTCATCACTTCTCATCTCATAAACATGTCAAGTGGCCTTGGAGGTCTTTCTGGGCCTCCCAGGAGATAATTTTTCAGGTGGAACAGAACTGGCAGGAAAACTGTGTGATTTGTGCTCCAGTCTTAATTGTGGCTGTGCCTCATCCTAGATTTCCCTCTAGAGGAAATTATTCACCCAACAGGACAGGGGTGGCTGGTGAGGTAGGGAAAGGGGAGTGTCTGTATCAATGTCTTCACTGGCTGCCTCAACCTCCACATCATCTGGGTTTGTTTCTGCCCCTTCACTATCTTTGTCACCCAATACTTTATCAATGCCATTCTAATCAAGTAAATCTTGATGAATAGCACTACTGTTGAGAGTGTGGAGGACGAGGCGAGTCACAAGACATCGAAGGATGTGCATCCACCATGATAGCTGGTGTGTAAATGGGCCACTAGACTCGAGATGAAGATTACATGAAAGTTGAGTTGCCAAGTAAATAAATATCCAATACAACGTACTTCATCCCACCTGGACATTCAAACTATGCCACGAAAATTAAGAACATAGAGCAACGTCACCCGGGGTTGCTATAGTGGACGTAGAGGAACATCGCCCAGACTTTAAGGGTTAAAGTGGTAGGATAAACTGCTGTGTAGGTTAAAATATTTCTGGAAGAAATAAAGAGGAGGTTATTGATATAGAACTAGTATAGGTAGTGAACAAGATGTGAGCCTGGAGGTATTTTAGCATTTACAGGAAAGTAGTGAAGTGAACTGTCCACACACATGGGGGTGTTTGACAGGGATGGATATCCAAGAATCAAAGAGGCCCCAAGATGAGATTCACATAAGTTGTAGAGACCACAATTGTGTTTTTGAATGAAGATAAAGTGCAGTTCTATGGTGGAACACCTGGAATGGAAAAAGTACTGGGTATCAGGGACAAATATTTTTTTCTATGATCAAATCATATACTATACTGTACTGTACAGTATATGGTTACCCATTTGCCACTAAATTTTATGATAAACCTTCATAATATAAGTTAAAAAATTTAATTTCCAGAAAAACTAATTCTTTAACATATAAAAAAGTATACTGTAAGTAGATAAATCCTTAAATACGTAACTGTGTAAAAAAAAGAAACGATGTGAATGAAAGAATTTATTACAAATAGGCAATGTTCTACCTCCTATATTTCTTTTCTTACGCATTGTATATTCAACTGGAAAAGCAAGAACTTTGTGATACTCAGTTCTTACAATGAAATGAAATACGAGCATCACAAACTTAGGAACAGTTTTATTTTAAAATCATTTCCCCAGTTTGTTTATTCTTGGTAGAAAAAAAATATGCATGATACCTGGTCCATGCACAAACCTTTTGGAAAACTGTAATTTCAACATAAAACAGATTTCCAATGTGTAATGCTTAGGTAATTTGTACTTGTGTGTGAACTAACTATAGCCAACAGCAGCACGTATTGTAGCAGCAATCTATCCTTTTGGTACACCCTCAATGTGGAACCTTAGGATGAAAATTATTATTGTATTCATGATACGATGGCAAGTTTGATTTTAAAAACAAATAAACTAAACTTGTGAACTCTCAATAGCATAGTAGTGATAAAACAAATAGGTTATTATTATATGCAAAATTAAAACCAATAAACCACAGCCATCTTACACAATGAAATTTTGTTAAGGTTTTCAACAACATTTTGTAACAGAGTGAGAACACTATACCTACTCATCACACACATTAACTTGTTCCTGTGATGGAGCAGATGCAGATGTGGTTCCAGGAAATCTCACATATGCACTCACTTTCTAACCATTTCACTGGGCAGTGTTGTTTTAACAAAAGGGCATGAATTAATTACTTTCACACTTGGTACACATTAAATGCATAGTCAAGTTTACAGTTGTTAAATTATAGCTAGAATGAAACTATATTGTTCTCACCATAAATACACAAGTTTTGCACTAGGCAAAACCTGTGACAAGTTTAACGAGCTTATAGTGTTATCCTTATGCACTTGTACTCAATGTCTGTATAGGACTACATATCTTGCCAAACCAGTGGCACAGTTATAAAGACTGCAGGTGCACTGATTCATCTCTCACTGTTAACACAGAGATGCTGTGAGACAAACACACTTGTGCTGAAGACATCCTCACTGTAACACTACAATAACTTATAACCACGAGGCAATTCAAGCTAGTACTGAAGTTTCAACATAGGTATCAAATACAAGAAGTAATGGAGCATTCTTTAAAAGTACTACCTTGGATTTAAATCTACAAATAGCAAAACAAACTCAGCTTTATGAACATGTATTCCATAAATAATGTCAACAGATTTCATTAATGTGAAAATGAAAGCTGCATCATAATTTGTACATAATAGTACATGATATGATGATCTGTTATTACTGTTGTGTAGAAATCACAATCCACAACATTTTTTATTTTTAAATGTTTTCTTTGTATCAAATTCAATAACTATTTTTTAAGAGGAAAAGGGAAAAAAAATTATTTGCCTGACCAATACAACAACTTCCATAGCACCTTTCAACATTCCATGAAAATCAAATGGGTACAAAATATTTGTTCCTTCACCTCACATTCTAAACATGAATGAAAGAATATAATTACAGTACACATTAAGTTTTGGTAATCCCTTTTTTGTCGTTTTAAGTTTCACTAATTAGCAAGCTCTAAGCATGTTTCAGCACTAACAGAAATACCTTGGGTCCTTCTCAACCTTCTTCACCCTAAGGTTTCACTTTGAAACACCCTAAAACTGATAATTTAAGAGTAGGTTTTTAAGCCACATTTCACATCATTCAAAAGCAGTGAAACACTCGAGTTCAAAATGACATTTACTTCTCAGGCCATTTAAGGATTATAAGACACCAGCAGATTCCTGGTCTGAAGAGGTTTGTCTTACAAGATCACTCAGGTAAATGTCATGAATACATACCCTCCCACCCCCTAAGTTCCCACCCCTCAAAATAAAATAGAAAATAAAAAATCTCCTATGCCAAAATGGTCATTATTCACCATCACTTTTGACTTTCTTTGCATCCTGTGTGGAATCATCATTATCTGCCTGTTTTGAGGTTCTCTTATTACCACAAGATTGCACTTCTTTATCTTTGAAACTTATGATGATACAAGTCATGTTGTCGCAGCCCGTACCATCCCCATGGGTGTCCGGCGCAAGGCAATGATCAAATAGCTGTTGAAAGGAAAAAAATATTGTTACATTCTAAGTCACTGTAGAAAATTAGCTCTTACATGAAAAAATGTAAATACATTGTAGTTAAAAAAAGTAGTACTGTCCTATAAACTAGCTTCACTCTCCTTAGGGAAGGAAAATGTGTTACACAATTTTAGCAAACTGATTTTTGATGAGATGTCATGCTTCACTAATTAACTGCTCATTAGAACAGAAAAAAAATGCAATTCATTTCCCAATTTCATTCAAGGTTAAAATTCTTGTTCTGTAAATTCTCCCATGATGTTCCATTCAATATGGCAAATGGAAGGAGGCCAACTATATACAGTACACACAATGATTCATCTTCACCAGAGTAAACTGTACTATGTCAATCTATAGCATTGTAATACATATTATATAAGCTAAAGCTGCTTACCATAACACCAAACCAAGCCTAATTTACTGCATTTAATTCATTAATGGTATTTTTAGCTTTTAAATTTTCAAGTGGTACTTTTCCAATGTTTATGGAGATAAGATTTTTTTTAAATTATATTATACATACTATAAACTTACAATTCTTTTACAAAATAACTTCCACCTGTATACTGTATTCTGACATAACAGAGGCTAATAACTTCTGGATGTTAAATTTGAATATGATTTATTTATCTTTCCAACTCAAAATCCTGACTGTTTCACCACTAACAAAACTGAACTATAGTTTTTTTCTTTTTGGCTGATGGTGATAGGCTAAGAAGCCCCACCCCTCCAGCTCATATTTAATGTTTGATTAACAATGATATATCGCAAATAGATCCACACATAACTGTTAAGAACACCCAGTAACTGCTTGAAAATGTTAAATTTCAAGATATGAAACCAGGCATATAAGGCAATGGATAATAATGACTATTTTATAAAAAGTAGAATCAAGTGTAGACACCACATGTTCACGTAAAGGTGTTATTAAAGACATGGGTTAAAATAATGTTGAGCACTGTATGTGTTAAAAAGAAGGAGAAAAAAGAAAGAAAAGAACACTTGCTCACTGAATACCGTACAGTGGTCTAATCAGATTTGCTGCAAGCCTAACGAGAGCTAAGACACTGCGTATGTAAGCAGGCTGGTGGCTGATTAGGTGCTGCCACATTCATCAGCTTTATTTATTGATTTGGTATTATATTCTTGTATGATCAGCCTCTTATGGTGTATGGTTCATTATAATTAATATAGCACCTTCATAATAGAAAAAATATAATATGCAATTTGACATGAAAATTAAAGGATAAACTGTAACAGAAGGTACTCACTAAGAATGATTCATGTGAGAGCTTTCAGCAAACCAGCTTACAACAGGGTCACTATAACATACTGTACTGTATAGTATTTGATGTGAAGATACCTTCCTAACAATGTTATTTATTACCTTAAGAGTGATACACGATGGATCAATTTGGCTACTTTTACACTTAGACACCTGATTAATGAATAAACGAGGGTATAAAACAAATATCATGTAAAACAATATATATATATATATATATATATATATATAACTGTACTCATGTTACTTACTTCTTCACAAATCTTTGTAATCTTCGTGCCATCGTTAAGTCTTTCTGAGACAAAATCACAAGCTTCCTGAGAGGAGAGGGAGTTCCAGATTCCATCACATGCAACAATCATAAAATTATCTTCAGGTTCCAGAGCCATGGAACGTACATCAGGTAAGGGGCTGATCATCTGTTCCTCAGGGCTCAAATTTTTATTTTGTTTGTAGCCATGGTCACCTAGAAAGGACGATTCAATAAAATACAAGTCAATAACTTCTAATTCCATCTATACAGTATATTCACCAACCTTACCATTTATCATGCACAGTGAGGTGAAGGATGTGCATCAAACTTCAGAAGGAAAGTCAACCCATTAAAGATCAATAGTGTTACATTCATTCCCAGTTACATAAAGGTGAACAGAATATAAAATTTTACCAAAACCTCGACCAAACAGCAGTTAAGTTTTTTGTTCCACAATTCTCCACAGACGATGGAAAATATTCATGACGGAACTCTCCATAATCTTCCTGTTGAACGTCTGCATAACAAATCTGGATGGAATCTATTAAAGGATACCCACATTGTTTCACAGTTCCATGAACCTTTTTCTTTAGTTCACAGCCCTAAATTACTCAACCTCAAACATTTTTTATTCAATAACTTCAGACTCCACCCTTGTCAAATTACCAAAAGTGTCCAAATTATCTAGTGTATATTTTGTCGTGGTAGTTTTTCGCCCCAAGTAACTCTCTCTCTCTCTCGAGACTCAAACCTGTCCAACACCTTCATCATTCCATCAATGGACAGGTTCTTATACTTCAACTGTACGTACACCAATATTTGATGCATACAGCAAAATTACATAAGCAACTATTTAAACAACAAAAAATAATAAAAAATAAATACAATAAATAAATAAAAAATAAAGCATTCATAGCCCCACATCCCTGGCTACCACTATTTCATGACATTCAAACAATAATGATTTAATGAAATAAAATCATAATAAAATATATTAACATTTTAAACAAAGTAATTAAGAACAAATATAGACACTAGTGGTAACCAGAGAATTTTGTTTTGCTGTATTTTGAAAGCTCCAGTTCCAAATCCTACACCTCCCATTGAAATGCACATACTGATATGTCATGATTTGCCTTTTCATGGTAATTCTTCATCCAACTATATGTCAAGGGTTTAATGTGCCCAGAAGGGGGAAAAATAAATAAAATAATCCACTTACCAATTGCTCTTGAGAGATTAAGTCCTCCATTTACACGTCCATCAGCAGTTACTCTGCCTCCAGCTTTAATAATTCTGGCAGCCTCTGGATCATCTTCTGGCTTGTGGTCAAGGCTCATCTCGACAGCTTTCCCATTTCTTGACACAACACAACGGGAATCACCAACATTGGCTACGTACAACATTTTTTCTTGAATGAGTGCCACACATGCTGTACAACCACTGTCAAAACCGGGCTGGAATATCATATAAACATTAGCAACACTGAAAATGCAATCCCATCACCTGATATGTCTATTAAAATGAAAGGCTCACTGCCAATATGAAACCCTGTACAGTAAAAGATTATCATGCGTAGAATGCTCACCAAGGTGTTCAATTTGAAGCATCATCTCCAGTCAACCATGATTGTGAGTCTGTGAGACTCCCTCATGCATACCAGTACAACCACACAGTTTGCTCATGTGAAAACACAGCAGTAAAAAAGAAATTGAAATACAAAATGCCTCCACTGGTATAGATCCTATACTCTAACACAGTACATAAAAAAACAAATAAAATACTCTGATAATATAACCGAAGGCTGGATAATGTCGTGGACATGGAACCTTAAAATTATGGATGTTGACAACGTATGAGAAAATGGGCTGTGTTTTGGGTCCAGCATTCCTGTTATCGGCAAACTAAAAAAAAAAAAAAAATCTTTACAACCACATTAGAGTAAGGATTTTCTGCTTCAGGATGAAATGATTCAGAATCATCAAAACAGCTGGTTAAAGCGGAAGAAAGGAGGAGGAGGAAGATAGAGAGGAGAAAAAACGTATCTCCACAATCTTCCATCTCAATACAGAATTACACCACTCAAACTATACTCAGACAAACTTCCTGTAAGCCCTAATATGCATTTTGCCACCCTAACTCTTATACAGAAAAAAATTATTAAACATATCCAATACAAGGGGTCCCCCGTGTTATGAATGGGTTCTATTCCTGAGGACGTTCTTAAGTCGGAACACATGCTATATGCATACTGTATGAACAGGACAATGTTTAAAATCCCACTATATCATAGCCTAAGTCCTTATATACATCTAAAATCACTTAATTTAAGAGAAAAGAAGAAATAGAATGACAAAATACAGTAAATGAAAGTAAAAATAATCAAGTAAATAAAATGCTCTAAATTTAAATTTTAACCTCTTTCGTATCGGCAGGCATTTTAAGTCGGGAACCGCTTGTTCTGTATATATAAACTGTGACCATACCATTTTCAGTCGATCAAATACATCACATTCTAACTAATCCTTCATATGAGCACAAATGTCTTATCTTTCTTCCATTCAAGTTTAATATCCTTTCAAAATCATCAACTGACCAAAGGGAAAAAACTGAGTTCTTGTACAGTATCAGTGATGGGTTAAATGTGTGCTACAGTACCTCCTCTTTCATATTCATGGCAAATTCAGTGTAAGGGTCTTCGTCATCTTCAGTTTCAACATCCTCCTCCTCCTCATCATCATCTTCATCTTCACTTTCTTCACCATCAGCATCTTCTTCACCCTCTTCTTCTTCACTGCAGAGAAAAATCATCCAAATAAGTACTGCACTACTAGTAAAAAACAACAAAATATAATTCAAAACATTCCTTATCTATCACATTTATGGAAAGAATAGTTTTATACAGTAGACCCTTGCGATTCACGATTTCAACGATTCGTGGTAAGCAACTGGTGGCTAGCTTGCAAGCTTTTTCCCGCAGCTCAACGAGTCGCCCCACGCGCCCGTGGCATATCATCTCCTCCTGTTCGAGCTCACCCAGTACCCATGACCCAGTATCTCGTGCTGTATTCTCAAAACTTTCATGTTTCTTTGTGAAATGGCCCCTAAAAGACTGCCTAGTGTCAGTGCTGGCAATGCTAGTGGAGTGAAACATAATAGGCAAAAGTCAGTGATGACCCTGACAAAGAATGTTGAATTATTATACAAGTTAAAGGAAGGGATGAGTGCTGCTGCGGTTGGTCGGTTGTTTGGTGTGAACAAATCCACAGTGCGGTATAGCAAGAAAAATTAACAAGCAATTGGTGGCGCTGTCAAGCGAGTGCTCCTGCAAGTGTTAAAGTGGTGCAGATTGTTTGTGACAAGAACATAGCTACTAAACCAACTTTTAGTGCCAGTAAAGGGCGATTCGAGAATTTTAAGAAAAGATTCTCTCTCCATAATGTGAAGCTGACTGGGGAGGCCGCCAATACATTTCCAGCCAAGTTAAAGAAAATATAGAAGAGAAAGGCGATAAACCAGAGCAAGTGTTAAATGCTGATGAATCTAGTCTACATTGGAAAAAATGTCTGGCAAAATGTACATAAGCAAGCAGGAGAGGCGTGCCTCCGAGTTCAAGGCAGCCAAGCACAGTGACGCTCATCTTCTATGGCAATGCGGCTGGCCACATGATCAAACCTGGCTTGTTTTACCTTTTGCCAGTCCAAAAAAAGCATGGGTAACTATGCAAGCATTCCTGGATTGGTTCCATAAATGCTTTGTCCCGGAAGTGAAAAAATACCTTGCTTCCAAGAAGATGGAATTTAAGGTGTTATTATAGATAAACAATGCACCAGGCACCTAGAATGTTTGTGGTTTAGCCATCCAGGTGTAGAGGTGGTGTTCCTACCCCTAACACCACTGCTATTATTCAGCCTCTCGACCGGGGTGTAATACACACCTTCATGGCATATTACACCCAACACTCTTTTGGTCATGCAGACCCTGACCCTGGTGTTAGCAAGTGTTGGAAGTACAGCATTGCGGACTGCATTCCAACATCAGTGAAGCATTCAATGAACTCAAACAAGAGACAGTGAATGCTTGTTGGCCTGAGTGTGTGAATAACTTCTAGGGATTTCCATCCATAGTAAAGGATGTGAATGATATAGTGAGTGTTGCACATCAGTTGGGTGGTGAGGGGTTTGTGGACATGGCTGCTAAAGATGTAGAAAAGCTGATTAATGGGCATGGAGAGGAACTGACAGAAGAGGATTTGGAAAAGTTGGTAAAAAGTGCCGAGGAAGATGAAGGAGAAGAAATTAAGTACAGTACTGTACGTAATTACAACAAGAAGGTTGGGCTTGGACAATTTTGGTTTACTATTTTGACAGGTAAAGATGGTAACTAATTTCACTGCTGACCACGACCCTTCCATGGAACAGAGCCTTAAAAGATGGTCCGAGGAATCATCCAGGAAGTGTTTCCTTACCAGGAAACCAATCACATTTCAGGATGCTATCATTCTGCCAAATTCTTAAATAGATATGCTAGGTCTCACCACTTCCTCTATGTCATAGAAGCCACACATCCTCAACATTGCTAAAGCTGCCTCCCAAAAGCTGGGAATGCTGTACAGATGCACAAAAGAGAGTTGTACGGACAATGACCTCCTTGAAAAAAAAAAAGATCGCACAAACGAAAAATTTGCTAAATTGAAAATGTTAAAATTCGAAGATATTAACACCTACTGCTGTGCCCTCTTTGTTTACAAATCTATCAATCACTTGCTTGACAAAAATTAATTCCAGTTCTGGAATAATCAGAGATACAACTTGAGGCACCCAGAGCTACTAAGACCACCACCCCCCCATGCACTCCTCTCAGTCCCAGACCTCCATAAAATATCACGGTGTGGAGGTGTGAAACAACTTGCCCCCACTCATCCGAGCAGACTACGCTCCCTTCCTTTAAATCATCTCTTAAAAAATATCTATTGTCTAAGTATTAATATTTCTTGTAATACTGTACCTACTATATTTACAGTACCTGCTTTTATTGTACCATCAAAACCGTTATATCGGAAATTATCATGCAAGTAGATAAGAAATTACCATTGCAATAAACATATTTGCCAACTAGACATAATCCTGACAGCTCTGTCCTCTTGTTCAACGTTAACACTGTACAACCCAGGTTGTACTGCTCCCCCATTATACTTATGTTCTTCAATTCCACTGTAATTTACGTATATGCTTATAATATAATTTAAAAAAAAGCAAAACTAATAAAAAAAAACAAAAATAAATATTGAAGTGATAACCGTGGTAACATTATGAGATGTTCTTATTACCACCATGCTATTGTACTGTTCCAGGTGTTACTAAAATGTCATATAATACTTCCTCGAGATAAATGTATAGTACTGTATAGATCAGGTGCCTAAAAGTGAGCTCAGGTTCTCAACTGGCTCAGCCATGTTAATAGTTATTATTATCCACTCTGTATCTGTGTTTTTCTGGCTAAATAAACTGTTTCAATTCAATTCAGATGCTGTAGCTACTTCACTCCTGAGCAGTTATTTATGGGATTCATTCGTCCTAACTTGAGTACTGCTCTCATATCTGGGGTGACTCTTCTTCTGTCCAACTGTTAATTAGGATGGAATCATAGTCATTACACCTTATTAACTCCCCTCCTTTAGTTGACAATCTTTCTTCCCTTTGCCACAATGTTGCTTTACTCTCTTTTACAGGTACTTTAACAGGCAATGTTCAGTGGATTTGGCATCCTACGTACCGCCAACGAGGCTGTGGGCTCATAACACATGTCTTGCCCGCAGTGCCCACCGTTTCTCTGTAAATGTCGGTCACACTAGAATAGCATCTTTCTTTCCTCACACAACCAAACTGTGGAATGCTCTGCCTTCTTCATTGTTTCCATACTCATACAATCTAAATTTAAAAAAGCTGGTTTTCCGGCATCTTCGAATTGTACATTAATATAACCTTTTCCTTTTCTATTTTTAATTTCTTTATATTCTTTTTTTGCCCCCTAGGCCCCATTGTGGGTCGATGACCTGTGCCTGGGTGGGCTATTCCCCTGCTAAAAAAAAAAAGTTTAAAGACCTCAGAGCAAAGAAGAAACAACTACCAATCACGATGTTTTTAAAGAAATAACCAGCTACTGCCGCCGCCACTCCACTCTCCTTCTCCCAGCCACCCGCCACCTCACCACTAGCCAACACTGCATCACCCTCTTCCAACAGTGATCCTGATGATCCACCTATGCTTCAGTAACCAGAGGTCTCCCTATGTACAGTGCACCACTTCATCAAGCTCCAACTTCCACATACTGTACTAATGTAAGTAATGGTGACTCAAGTTTCTCATATACAGTACAATATAGGTATATGTTAGTGCACTAAGGTATTATATAAGTTGCTATTCGCAGTTTTGTCAATTAATGCCATTTCTTGGAACCGAACCCTCACGAATGGCAAGGGTTTACTGTACTGACATAGGATGTGCATTTAAAAGGTATGAGCTGAATTTTAACGCATTTAATAGCTTTCAGATAAATTATAATCAACTCTTTCAATCACATCACACCAGTTGAAAGAGAATCTGAGTGCTGTATTGTTGATGTGAATGTACGAGATAAGTTAAATGTTAAGATGCAACTTGAAAGACATTGTCAGTGACCCTGTGTAACAAAAGGTATGTCACCAAAATTATGTTGCACTTTTCAAGTGAAAATTTCAAATGGACGAGTTGTCTGTTCAGAGCAAACACAAGAAATACACACTGCCACGTTCGCAGAGTGATACGATATATATAATTGTAATAAAAGTTTAAAGTCCTGCTTTAATAGTCGAGATAAGTTTATTTCTCAAGAAACAGGGCTGCCATTTGCAATGACGTCACCAATTTCCCCGCAGACGACGTTCTCCAACAAACTCACTCTTAAGGATGGCCTCTTCAGACCCCAAATGCCACGTTAAGTGAAGTGAAGAAATGTGCCTTGAAGAGCAGCTAATGGACATAAAAAACTCCCATATTCACACCAGCTCAGCTGTCATGTATTCTTACCTGGTAATTTTTTTTCCAGTGCATTTACAGAGTACTGGGTATATCAGTACTAGATGAAGATACGAATTAATTTAGAAGTAATGACATTGTATTGAATTTGTTTTGAGAATACATTGGGATATATCATCATTTATATTAATTAATGGGTAAAATTATACTTTAACTACCCTAAGTATTTGGATGCTTAGATTCGAGATAGACTACATTGGGTAAATTTTAAGTTTTGGGCATCCCTGTACTTAGACGTGTAAACTGTTTTTTTTCTGATGGTTTGCAAAGTGATATGAACGATTTACACCTTCATTTCTAACGTAAATCACTAGTTTTGACTTACTACACCCCCCCCCTTTCCGGTGTATGCTGAGCTAACCTTATAACTTATAATATAACTCAACATATATCAGTGACAAAAACTTACATTTTCCCTACAAGAAATAAAGAACAGTAATGAAAATTTCCATGTTGGAGTTACAGTATCGGTCTTTTGCATCACCTTGGCACCCAGCAAGTAAATACACACGATGATACTTGAGCAGTAATTTATTTTAACCTAAAAATAAGGTATGCCTGTGTATATCAACATTGTATATGGCCACAAGTCCTGTATTTCTGCTGGTAACAACACATACACCACAGCTGGCTGCCTCCAGGCTCCTGCTCTGCGGCTCGCAACAACCGATGACGTCACAACCAATCACAGCTTTTTGCTACCTTGTGACTTTTTAGT